CTGGTCATCGAAATGAAAATAACGGCAATAAAGTATCGTGTTTTGTGTGCTTGATGTGTTCTGCTGGGCCTGACTGATCCGTCAAACAAAGGGAGGGATAAAAGCTTTAGAAGGCAATGGATCTCTTGGAAAATGGGACGATTCGCTGGTTAACAACCTAGTTGCTAGGCAGGTGCCATTGTCCACCGGGAAACAAGGAAAATGAAAACATATCGCTGAGTTAATAAAGCACTTATCTCCCAGAACGGAAATTTGGGGGACAACACTGCTATTGTTTCGTTTTGCAGATTTATTATTATTTTTGTTTTTTGATTATTGAAATGGTAACTCGAACGTATTCTTTTTTTTTTTTTTTCGCTTTTCTGGGTCCATTTGAAATGTAAAATGCTACTCACAACCTCCAAAAGGCAGACAGTGATTCGCCCACATTTTAATAAAATCCTTATGGATTTGCAGTTTATATTCTTCTTTTAAAACATCCGACTCCCGCATTACTGATATCATCGAGGATTTCATTCTTAAACCAGTTATGTTTAGTTTTTTAACTCAATCATTTGCATACAACTGTCAGGTGTATTCTCATGGAGTGTGTACACAGATCTGACACATTGCGGGGTTTTAATGTAACATGAGATATATCAAAGTTTCCCGACCGTTCAAACAAAACACGGCTTGCTCTCCGCGCTTAACTGCCTGCTGTCACATCAGACAAAAGCGCCGAGTGTCCGACCTATTGACTTAGTTAGTCTACATTGACGCTTTAGTCAAATGTCACTGCCTTGAAACTTAATTTAACATTGACGTGTGACGCAAATTAAGAGCAAAACCCTCGCATTTTAGTATTACGTCTATAAAGAGATCGATAGCTGACCGACATGGAAAACAGTACTAACGGCACTACCGTAAATGCAACCCTGTCCGAAAGTGAAATGGATCCGATGTGGATTGGCATTCTAGAAGCTTCGATCTTGTTTTGCATCATGTTGCTCGCAATCATTGGGAATTTTCTTGTTATCGTTGTGGTCTATCGCCGACGAGAGCTGCGCCGTACAGAAACTCACATTTTTATTGTGAATTTAAGCTTGACAGATATCTTTGTCGCCCTCTTATGCATGCCTTTTTCCTTGATAACTGCAGTGACGCAAGACTGGATTTTTAGCTACTCGCTTTGTCAGATGAACGGTTTCCTTAACGTATTTTTTCTACTCACTTCTATATTAACCCTGACTGCTATTAGTATTCACAAGTACGTCGGAGTAGTCCAACCAAGCAAGAGAAAAATATTCACCAGAAAGACGGTACTAATGGCGGTTGCCTGGGTTTGGTTGCAGGCCTTGCTAACGGCGCTTACTCCTATTCTGGGTTGGAACAGTTATGAGTACATTCAAGGGCGAACGCAGTGCTCTGTCAAAGTTCCTCGTGAAAACAAACTCAATGAGTTAACAAACTGTCTGTTCATTATCACTTGCGGCTTTGTAATTCCGCTCGCAATAATGAATTTCTCGTACTTTAAAATTTTCCGAACCGTGAAGATTCATACGAAACGCGTGCGAAGTCATTCCTTTGGCGAGGAAAAATCTGCGGCCTTCTTGAACGAGAGACGCATTATAGTTACACTGTTTATAATACTTGCTGTGTTCCTCGCTTGCTGGACTCCGTTTTCCGTTCTTACGATTTACGCCACTCTAGTGGGGCACGAGCTACCTAAGTATTATTCCGTCGCTGCCTACTGGATGGGTTTTTTGAATTCTGCAATGAATCCCTTGATCTACGCACTCCGCACAAAAGAATTCCGCCAAGGATACCAGCAAATTTTCAGCATGTTGCTTCCATGCTGCTTAGCAAAGCCGAGTTCGGAAGAAAACGATTCTAGAGCGGTTCTGAGAGGAAGAAGGAGCTTGAAAAGTGATGTGATGACGTTTACGCGAAGACGCGCCGGTACAGTAAGTGAAAATCAATTAGATGAGATACACGATGTTGCCGTGAATGGAACTACTAAGGTAGCTGGGCGAAAAAACACGCTAGAAGAAGTTTTGGAGGACAAGAGCGACGGCGCTAAATGCGAATTTCCTCTTAGAAGTAAAGAAATGCGTGGAATTCATGAAAGCTGTTTTCCTGCTCAAGATTTCTCGAGTAGTTTGGATAACCCAGAGAAAATTCGAGACAGGGAATCTCTGAATAGCGACGAAACAAATAGCAATGAAATTCCTGGTTGCAGTGAAGCACTTCACGATGACCTATTTCAAACAAGAGAAAGTCTGCTTCTTTGGAATTCTACAGATTTTCTTTTGGAGAAAGCCTCCAACAAGAACTCTGGAGAGGACGAGAAAAGTCGACGCAAAAGTTTTTCATTTTTACCAGTAACTCAGCAAAAACACAAACTCAAGAGTCGCCATCTGTATCGCTCAAAAAGCGACTGCAGCGTGTTTTTCCAAACGCCTAATGATGAGAGAAGTTTTATGAGTGCTCGAGTCGAATATCCTTAGCTTCAGGGAAATCTGATATATATTTGAATAACATTTCACTTATGGATGTACCTAGAAGTCCTCCTTCAAAATTGATGCCTTGATTACAAGTATGTTACAAAGCCAAGATTGTTATCTGGAGTTCCGCGATATTAACTACTTGAAAACGGAAACGCAGTTACTAAAGAATTATGCGAGCAATGAATTACGACTATTTTTGCGGCATCCGATACGAAAAAATGTTATGAATTCGTTCCACTTGCGTAAGCACAAACAATCATAGATCGTAAGAATTTTAGTAAAAAGGTGAATATGTTTTGTTTTGATGAAGGATTTTGCGAGTAGGAACATCAAAATAACGATATGTTTATATCAGGGAATTCTTTTCCTCGAGTTATTATCCGGGTTTTTTTAGAACAGTTGATGAATTATTTTTGCGCTTAAAATTTTTACATAATCTTTGTAAATATATCTTTGTCACTGTTCCAATATTCAACTTTCATAGTAATCAGAAAATTCTTTACACAATATAATATTGTTTTCGTATAAACCCAGGGAGTAATTAAATTTTGTTTGATTTGGCATATGTCAGTAAATACATACACTTGCTGCTTAATTTTGAAACCGGGAAGGCAAAGGTTAGGTTTAGGGGAGGGGAGGCATGGAAGGTTTTTTTTCGCATAATGACGATAGGACTTGGGTTCCGTAAGGGAAAGATTTCGGGAGTGAAAGTATAAACATCTAGATAGCAGCTTTAGCACAACTGCCTGGTTCTATAGCTTGTCCCGGCGAAATCCGAATGTCGAGGAATCGATTCTACGCCAAGGATTCTTGAGTTTTTTCTCTTTCAAAGCTGCGACAAAACAAATAACAGCCTTCCTTTAACGACCAGGGCCAAAATCTACCAGCTTTTTATTCCATCTACACACGAGATCTTTATAACTTCACTGCAATCTTACAGCTCAGGTTTGACAATTAAATATTAAAAAAAAAAAGCAGCTGGAATAAAAGTAAACCCCAATTCTAAGAGAAAGTTGTTTATACTACTTACACGTATGACTAAGAAAATGTCCACCTCATTCACATATGGAAAATGTGCCAACAATAAATCTATGTACAAGGTAAAAAGATAAGGAAACTATTTTAAATTGTTAAAACGACTTTATATGTTAAAATGCCTTAAAATCATTATGTTTTAGGGGAGGTTGCATGGATCATACGGAAATCTTTTTTTTTTCTAAGTGAAAAAATTCACTCGTTACCGATTTCCACCAAACGATTTTGCTTACGAACACGTGCACAACACACGTTGACAGTTTCTGTCGAAACTCTGACAATCCTGTTATCATTCCAAAACCTCGGAGTTCTTTTTATTATAGAACGTATCTTAAAAGAGAATCGTAATTCAAACAGAGTCATCGCAATACCAGTACGGAACGAAAGGAAATATGACAAGAAACCGATTAGAACTCAACTTCTTACCTTGCCAGATACACGAGAGACCGATTCACGATCGCGGTTGGTTTCAATCGAAGGCATTTGATTAGTTTTGACGGTGGCGCGATTTTTGAAGAAAAACACGATGTGATCCTGGCACCAGATCCGTGAGCTGGACGTAAGCAAAATTATAGCGGCTAAATCGTAATATCAGTTTTGCGATCGAAAACTGTCTCTACATAACGCGTATTTTATGTTGATGAAACATGGTCACATGACATTTTTCATAAAATCTCTTTTAAGCTACGGCTCACACTCTTCTGATAAATGTGGGCAAAAGTGGGAATAAGAATCGTTACCTCGGTATAAATATCAGTACTAAATAAATATAATATAAATACTTCTGAAGCATTTTTTTGTGAAAACTAAAGAAACGACAGTGAAGAGAAAAGAATCTAGACTAATATTTCAATGACATAAGGATGCACTCGATCAGATAGACTAGAAAGGCACTTATGGCCCTACAGATACGTGTATGTCCAGGATTGAGCATTACAACAAATTATAAAGAAAAAGGAAAACTAAAATGTTTAAAAACAAAACATAGCGACCAGGATTGGAAAAAAGGAGAGTGATAAAGCAGCTACGAAAAATATATAGAAAAAAAAATTTTAAAAAAAAACTGTATTTTTCTTGAAGGGTCAATCCTAGACAAAGGGAAATGTTTGTATTTTTCTTTATAGTCCATGTGGCGGCGTATTGTGGTAATACGGTTTCGTTTCTGTTAATTGATCTTAAAAATTGACCGTGAGAATTTCTCCTAAAAGACCGCGTCTTATTTTTTACTCAAAATGCCTCGTACATTGCAGCCTATAAAACAGGTCTTAAAAATTCGTATTAAAAATTCAATTTCCCTGTTGTCCACTTGACTCGACAATTTAAACTCTCTCTAAATGTGACAATATCATAGTCAGTAAGCTCTGTTGACGACGATTTCCACCTTATCTTGCCCATGACTGTACACTTCCAACACAAAAACCATTCTTCGCTCTTTTAACTCCTCGCACGCATAATTTAAAAGCGTTTCCACAGGATATCTGTTTGGAAAAGCCCCTGTCGCCAAGGCAGTCATGAAAAGGTCGCTTTCTCTACTTTCACCTTGCGTTGTCGTAGAATACTGGGGTATAAATATCGCATTTATGATCGCCCGTCGATTGAGTCCAGCGATCATAAGCCTCCAGTGACCTTCGGAGTTCACGAAGCCTTGCCGATCGGCAGTCGGTACAACTTGGACATCCGTGAGACCCCGACTGCAAAGTCTTGGAAGAGTGTTTTCGTGGAAGCTTGGTTTCGACAAGCCAAGAAAAGGTATATCAGACGCTATGTGCGTCCACGATTGATCCAGAATTCTAAACGGGTAGTATTTATCTACCTTGCCAGAACCAAAAGAACTCGAGGAATCTTTCCTTCCTGACCGCTGAACGCCTCTTGAGACCTTCCCCTTCTCTCTGCTTACACTGGTAGACGCTTGGTTTGTCGACACTGCTTTCCGTTTCGCTGTTTCAGGCGGGAGAGCGGGTCGCTTGTTTGCTTTTCGTTTCCGATTGGTGATCATTTTTTGCGAGCCAGCTTTCCGTGCTTTTGTCTTAATTCGAACCTTCTTTGGACTCCCACGGTAAACTGGACAAAGGGAAAGAACAATCCATTAGAAGCTTGGGCAAAATGGAAAAAACGTTCGTACACAACCCAGGAGAACTGGGTCTAGATACATGAGGTCGAGGCATAAATATTCTGAGAAATAAAAAGACATAATAATAATAATAATGTCTTTATTGTTCAAAAGATAAAATTACATATCTTATGTTACATTAAAAAAGGATGTAAATGAACTTAGGTGTATCTCTAAATAACATAAGTATATACGTAGAGACAAATACGAAAATCGAATGCAAGAAGTACACTTTTACAAAGCTACACTGTACTTAAAAACAATTCTATTAAAAAAGGTATTCTTAAAACGGTCCGTGCGAATGGCGAGCATTACAGGGGATTTATATCTTAGATTATATCTCGTAATCTTGGTTTCAGGGAAGTAGGCTCTAAGAGGGTAGCTAAGGATAGTAGAAACCTTGCTACAAATTTTGTGATCTTGCACATTAAGTAAGTCACCTATCACTAACTTCTTAGATATGTAACTACGTTTAAAACAACGATCTAAAAACTGCTGGGCTATAGTTAGCTCCGACTCAGAGGCCCCATACACAAATAGAGCATAAGCAATATTAGGTAGGACAATGGAATTAAATAAAACATCGACTTCTGCTTGGCTACATCCTTCTTTGCGGAGGCATCTGATAACGTGTGAAGACTGATTAGCTTTACCTAACTTTTCTTTTAGGTGAGTGCTGAATTTGCAGTTCGGCTGAAACAAGTTAGAGCACTTTTCAAAGTCGTGTCCAAAGGAACTCGGATCTGCTTCGTTTTATTTCGCTGTGTGATTGGTCCAGAAAACTCGTGCAATCATCTAAACCAATCATATTCAAACCAAACTCAACCGCGTTTACCCACGCTTCAAGCAGTCTGCTTCTTTCACTTTGCCCTTTTAATGGCTTCTTTGCAAAATTTTTCCCTTCCGTCGATTGGCTGTTAGAACTACTTTGGTGTTGGTTCAACGACACTGCATGATGATGAGCTCTACGTCTTATCTCATCTTTTTAAAAAGTTATTTTACAAATACTCATAGTGCAACTAAATATATCTCTGATAGGAATTCACAAAAACCAAGAAAAGCCATGGCAAAAACATGCTAATTCTAGAACGAGAACTCTGTGTCTTTTTTATCGATTCACTTTTCCATAAAATCGTCTCGCCTTTGGAAAATCTTCGGTAAAAGAGACTTACGATTCTAAGGTACTGTAGGTAAAAATTTTTTTCGACAGTGAAACAATGGGTGCAGAGAACAGCATTATTTTTGCAGGATTTACGCAATAGTGTCAACCACGGAGGTGAAGTTTTTGCTAAAATGGCCTATTGAAAAAGGCAACATACCTGTGCCTATAGTTGTTTCAAGAGCACGTAGGAATCCGATAGTTGTACAAACTTCTTTGCTCAGAGCGAGCGTGTATGATAAAGCTTCGGAGCTCACCACATGAATTCAAATCGCGTTCTCTGCGAATCTTGAAGTTCCTAATATTTGATAAATTGAATAAATAATTACCTTTTTTGCACTTCCTCCTAGGATTAATTCTTCTGGTGACGACGCTATATTCTTTGCATGAGCTTGCTTTCATTCCATCACTTGAAGGTGTTGATTCATCTTCAAGTTCAGACTCAGAATCGTCTTCGATCTCCGAATCGCATGCTGTAAATAAACAAGCAGATGTCACATTATGTCAAGCACATGTAACATAAACAAGGCGTTTCATAGATAGGCGTCCCAGGCATTAATTTCGAGGGGGGGGAGGGCCGGGCAGGGGTTCATTGAGTTGATAAGCATAATTAAAAGAAGTAAATAACAGGGTTTGTGTTCTATGAAACTCTTGATACAGTAGGCCACAAATTTACTGAAAAACCACTTGTTTCCTGTACTGTTTAAAAGATATAAATAAACCTGTATTCATGCAGCTGCAATAAAGGAGGAGGACGGTTGAAAAATCAATCAAAGCAATCAACGACTTCTTAATTAGTAGCAAAAAGATTGCACCAAAGTTTTTCCAAAATGAATTTACAAAAATTGACCTTGCTTCCTTTATTTCTGATGTCCAAAGACAGCTCTACGACTCTGGTGTTGCCAGAACTGCGGGAAAACTATTTTTATGTTGAGCAACAGAGGATGTTTTTCTTTTTGTGGGCAGACCTGTAGCAGGAGGTCCCACATTTGATCAAAGATGAAAGCACTTGTACCTGTAACACTCCTTGTTAACCATGAGAAATTTATGCTTTCATATTTAGAACAAGACACATGAACTGCTTACAATGATGGAGAGATTGCAATTATAATAAAGGGAACATAATCAACATTCACGTTCATACATTTTAAGCAGGCATTCAACAAATGTAGGATACATGTTCTGAATGTATATGGGCATGAAAAACCAGGTCTAAATCTCTTTTAGTTCCTACTTCTTCAGAGTGTCACTATAAGAAATAAATGTTGATCCACTTACTTCTGCCTTGTTTGTTGGGTATCTCCCTCATCTTTGAAGAATTAGAACCAAACCTACTGGTTTGGCCACTTGTAGGAGTTGATTTATTTTCATCTAAAAAAAAAAAAAAAGAAAAAAACATCATCCTTCTCTAAGCTGAAGTCTCCTTGTCTTCTCACAAAATGATAATGCCTGTGACAACCCAATCTGGTACTGGAATGAAAGTTTGTCAATCTCTCCTTTACCCTTTCCTTTGGGTCATCACTCTTCCCAACTTACACAATAAGCTTAATCACAATAGATTTGAGTCAAAAGTTGAATGGAACAGGATAAATAACCTATCAACAAAATAATAGTTCTCCACTAACCAGACTGGCCAATAAAACTGCATTGTTTGGTAGTTTTGTCACCACTGCGGGTCTCACAAAGCTGAGAACAGCTGACTTCTCCAGATGACTGCCATGAACTTTCTTCATTGCTTGCTGCAGGAACAAACTCCAGGGCCACAACTATGCCCTGAATGTGCAGCCGTAGGTTTTCTTTAAAATGAAGCTCTCTCAGTATAAACCCAAGGTTAACTGTGGTTATCAGATTCATTGGTTTGTCAGGAGAAAATGTTCTCTTGTACAATTCAAGAGAATCAGGTAGGGGTGGAAAGTCATTGTACCCACCCACACAGGACTTCCTGAGAAGCTGTTTAGCATCTCTTGTTTGACGCCATCTAATGACTTCATTTACAGCCTCTGATTCTGTAAAGGGTTTGTTTTTCACATCAGATGGCTGTCTCAGAAGGTAAATCTGAGATTCCCTGGTTGTTGTAAGGTAGCACAATTTTTGGTGTTTTGAGTCCTGTGCCTCAATTTTAAGGAGCATCCGTGCACAAACAAGAACCTTTCCTGGTGCAATGGCATCAAAGCTTTGGGGTTGTGAAGAAGCATAAAGATGGAGGATGAATGGTGCAGAACTTGTACCTAAAATATTAAAAGGGAACTACTCAGTTAAATGAAAATTATATCATTGTGTGCTGTAGTACCATAACAATGTCCAGATTAATAAAGCTGTACTTTAAGAAGAGCCACTAAGTGCCTAAGGGTAGTAACTTGATAAAACAATCTTTAATATTCAAGTTGCTGAAAATTAAAAGCTAGTCCTTTGTGACAAACGGTTTCCATCAGAACACAACTCTGACTAGTCTACATTTATTGACACCTTCCTGTTGTTGTGCTAATCAAACTGAAGTTCTGACAAAACAAAAGCAAGAGAAACTAATTTTATATCAATTTTGTGACCATGCTGGGGAGTGCATATTAATAGTAACTAGGGCAACTACAGAGATGAGACTGCCTTGTGTCTTCCTACCATCTTGCAGATGTACCCATTTACTAGTCCAGAAAGAAGACTTGTTCCCCTTTCTTTCTCTGCTGTCTCGGCTGACAAACATCACAACTCCTACAACATCACATATGAAGCCTGACGAGTAGTTTGACAGTGACTTCCGTTCAATAAATCTGAAAGAAAACCCAACAGCAACAAAAAAGCTGCTTATTACTGGGTGTTGGATTGTTGCATTGGCTGGATGTAAACAGAATAACTTCCCTGCCAATCATATGGGAACACATTTATCAGTTTGTTATTGTGTTGTGGATAGCATTCAGTAATTTGCTGATAGATAATTAGCAGTTCACCAATTCAGATATTTCAACAAAGTTGAAATGGTAAATTAGCCACCGTAATGATTACAAAAGCTGACGTTTTGAGTGCTAGCCCTTCGCTCCGATGAAGGGCTAACGCTCGAAACGTCAGCTTTTGTAATCATTAAGGCGGCTAATTTACCATTTCAACTTTGTTGATATATCCAAATTATTTCGTTACTCCCACCGATGCAGCCCCAAACAGTTTCTTTCGAAACTATCAGCCTTAGTTCACCAATTTGCCATTTTCTAAATGAGCGGC